GCCCAACGAGCACTGGTATGATACAGTACGAGTACAGTATGATACATACATTAATAAGTTTATAACAAAAGGGCATCATACCACGATACAACACAATAATCCACGACTCACGATCACCTCTGTTTAGAACATTGGGGACCCCAATTTACGCCAGACTATGACCCTCCCCCCCCCCTCCGCCAAAAGCACTATTACTACGATACCTTAATCTATCACTCGTTATGTATTTCCCCCAAATACCGGAACATATAGATTCCAAAATAGCAAAACCCTCAGCACGATACTTCCAAGCTCACCCACGTAACATCAGCAAAATCGATTCCTCCTCCTCCATCATCGTTTCTCCTCCTCACCATCGAAGCAAAGTATTCCCACCACGGACATCCATAAAGTTTCTCTCCCATTCCTTCCTGGCTCCAGGGCGGTCCAGATCTCCACAGTATAACACTGTACTCAGCATCTCATTCACTCGTAGGTGGCGCGGCATAATAGGTCGGAGCCAATATTACAAATTTTTCTTTTCTTTTCCCACCGTCACTGGGACACACCCTCTTGACCTTACCTACCCACATGATATGATGCGTTCTCCCCTCGGCCTGACCCATCGAGCCATCATATACCCCGGGTCCAAGATCCCCTTGGCGTCGGGTCCCCTCTATGGTAGCCAAAATTCCGTTGGGTTTGGGGTGTTCGGGGAGAGGGGGAGGGGGGGGGGGGAATCAAGGTTTTTGTTGGGTTTGGGATTTTGAAAAAGGGGGTTCGAAAATTTTTTTTGTTGGGTTTCGGGTCAAGTCCACTTGTGATGCCGACCAACCCATTGGAAGACCTGCGTGTTGATTGTGACTATCGTATCATATCAAACCGTTCCTACCTACCTACCTACCCACTTACAGGTATCGTGACAGGCCAGAAGAAGTATGGGAAAACATAAAGGGATTCAAGAAAATAATTTATGCAGCTAATTGTCTGCGCATATCTGTGATGCTCATGCCAAATTTGGTGCTTCTTGACTGTTCTCATGATACCTGTGCGCGTGACCTGTAGTAAGTACGATAGTGGGGGACGATGATTTCTCCCGGTGCTTTATCGAAGGTCGAGGTGTAAGAGGACATAGCATTGTGATCAATTCCGCTCCTGTCCGTCACACACGGCCGTCATGTTCTGTATAGGTTAACCAGTGCTGGTCGACTGTTTTCCAGCTCACCTCTCACGAATAACCTGGGGGGTCCCGCCTGATTAAAACCGGCTCCAGCGGCACTTTCTCTCTACTGCAGCATACACTGTCGAGATGAGGAACATGTATCGATATATCTACCAAACATTCCTGCGGAATGAGGAACAATAGCAAAGGGGTGAGTTGGAACTGTGTTAATGCTCTAACTTATCCCAACCACGAAGTACAGTGAAATAGATATTCCAACAACTAAGTTACAGTACACAATCTTTCACTCGGATATGTCCCAATTGGGGGAAATTGCTTTTTTTCCTTCCCTTCCAAATTGACCAAGTCACTGACCCATCCTTAGCAGGGCATGGAGTACCGGTCTAGAAAAAAAAAAAAGAGATTAGACAGGGGGTTTTGTGCTAAGAGCCACATAAAGAACCACTAATAGGTTTGGAGGGTAATGTACTCTGCTCAACTGTACTTGTAAATGGTCAATTGCCGACTCCCGGTTAGAAAGCAATTGACATGGTAAAAACGAGCGTTTGTTAGTTAGACAAGTGAAGGGGGGAAGAAGCCTCTCCAACTATGATAATTACCGAGGAACGAAGAAGAAAAGAAAAGATGCTCTTCAAAATATCAGAAGGAAAAAAAACCCTACAATACTTACTTGGTAAGTTAACTAGAATTCATCAACTAGAACGTATCACGGTACTCGACCAAGTGGGTATTTCTCTAGACGGCACAGGAATGAAAAAAACATAGAATATGATCCACCTAACCCATGACCGGAACGAGAGGGAGCGAGCGAGCCAGGCGGGCAGTCCAGGTTTTGCGGTCTTGTTCCCGTTGCACACGACTTTACCTTTCCATTTCCCCAAAAAAGTCTAACTAACTTGTAATAACATATAGTACTTGTACAGCCTGAGGTAAATAAAGAGCGGAAAATGGGATAGGGGATTCTGATTGGAGCGTTGGGTGGGTCGAGCCAATCGGTTTTGAGTGTCTATTACCCCAGTTTCCGGTCTTTTTTTTTTTTTACCGCAGGGTGCCAACCAACTTTTGTAGTTTACCGGTTCGGTGGTACCGGGATAATAATAAATTGGATTGAATACAGTAACTAACGGGGCCTTGTAATGGGCTCTCTCCCTCCCTCCCTCCCTCTCTCTCTCAGGTTCAATCTATGTATATTAGGGGGGCTTGTGACTCTGAGCGTCTTCTTGGCCTCAGACCTACTGAAGCCCACAGAGTTGATTGAATCCCACTCACCGCCCCTTTGATATGGCCAAGTTTTCCCAACATTCCGGTGGAGTGGTTCGTGCAAGTTTAGACTTCGAATTACCTCTGTTGTATTGTCGGTTCGGAGCACTTCAAGAATAAATCACGCTTTCCCAAGGTCTGTTGTATCTCTACTCGGTGCACCCGGTTGGTACAGTACACAGCGGTAGTTTCCCCATTTCTCTAGTGCGAGTGCCGTACTATACTGTATAGTGTAGTGTAGAGGGCGACATATCCATCTGGACTCAAATGCGCCAGCAACCATCCATAACTAAGCAGTTCTGCCAATCCAAACCAAGCAATACCACCCCCCCCCCCAAGCTATGACCTCACTTTCCTTCGATCAAGATAAGATCATTTTGATTGGGTATTTTCGAACCAAAGCCTTGAGATATCCCTCTTCCCCAGCAGGACACTTTACTGTATAGGGAGTAAACTTCCACCACTCCTGCACCTCTATCCCCAATTCCCCGACATTGTGAGCCGTGTTCGATCTCACGCTCTCTCTCGTTCTCTCTCTCTCTCTCTCGCCAGTGCCTGTATTGGGCGGCTTGGGTACCCGTAGCCACCTAGCCGTTATTATCATAGCACAACACGTCTCCATAGTTATAGTTACCCATCAGCCGGGGATTTGCGAACGGGATGAGGTACAAAACGTGGGGGATCTGCCCAGTTTGATCGCTTGCGTCACACACAGCAAGCCCTCAATTCTGATAGGACACACCCTAACCCATACCATAAATATCGGACCCTCTCAAGCAAGCGAGTGAAGAAGGGGTGTTGAGTGTTTTTTTCAAGGGGAGGGGACGAATTGGTGTGTTTCAAACCTTAATTAAAAGGTTCCCATTAGTCAGCCCTTCCCAGCGAAAAGCCAGAGAGAGAAGAGAGAGAAAGAGAGGAGGGGATTGCTCTCTGCGGGGTATTGTAAAATTGTAATAAAAAGAAAGTGCCTCGCATATGACGTAAAGACCGGAAATAAGCAGAAAGTTCCAAAGCATCTTTTTCCGGTATTATTATTCCTTTCTCCCTCCCCAAGGCCTCACACAAGCAAAGCAAAGAAATAATTCGTCATGTAGACCTCCACCGGGGGGAAGAAGACCAGCCAGCCAGCCAGCAAGTGGCTCGTGTGGGACACACACACACAACGGGGTTGTGTTTTTGCGCAAGGCTGGGGTGGACGTTTTCACGCACCGAGAGCAGGAAAGAAAAAAAGAAAGAAAAAACCACAAAACGTGGGGTTTTGTGGTCATGGCGCGCACTCTTAATTTCCTCACCGCCCGCGTATATTGTATCATAGCCCGGTGACATCCATCACATGATGGATGGGCGAAGCATACTTTAGGTATTTACGTGACCCTCCTCCTCGCGCCAGCCAAACCGAGTGATGATTTGTGAACAAACCTAACCAACTAACATCTACACCGAAGGGTCTTTTTTTGTCAGAGTAAATGGGGGGCGCACACAACTATCATACCTACACCTGAGCAATTATACCCCGTTTGACCCCCCCCCCCGCTGAAGCCTCACCCGACCTAACGCTCCCAACCCATTCGCCCTTACGGGCCCTTTCTCCCATTGATTCCCGGAACACTGTCTCCCGGGGGAAGACAAGGGTTATTGAGAATCCGACCGACATGTTTATTGTTGCTGTCTATACAATACTCGTAAGTTGACCGGCCGACCATGTCACGTTTCTTCCATCATACAGGCCACGGTAGGTCGTGCACGTTGTTTTTTCCTACCTGTTGGAACGCAACGCCATCATACATGGACCACGTGAGAAAGGCAAAATTTCATTTGCGCAAAAAATAATAATAATAATAATAATAGAAGGGAGGGGGAGGACAAATGCTTACGCAAGGAGTAGCTTTGGGGAAAGATGGGATACTCAAGATATCACTCGCTTGTTGTTCAATTGTTAAGGATTGTTCAAGGCAAAGATTCTTTCCTTTTTTTTTTATCCCCTTTCTTCTCCACCCCTTTTTACCTTGCGACTTTTGGCTAAAGTCTAATTCCTCGGAGAACGCAACCAATGCCAATCCCGGACCTCGGGAAAGAAAAAAAAAAAAAAAAAGAAAAAAGCTCGAATGAAGGGTATTCGTTTTATGTAATGGAGCGACCGCGATGTTTCAATAATATACAAGTGCTTTGTGGGACCAGGTATGATACGGTATTGCATGTACATATGAGTACCTACTCGTGGTCTTTCCCTTCTAATACGTGAGAGGCTAAAATCTGTCAACGCACAGATGTCACCGGCAAAGAAAGAAGCTCATCCAGACAATTGCGATGAGGTTGATTGCTGGGCGTTTCACCCATTACGGTAACCCGTAAAAATCGTTCTATCCTAGCCTAAAAAATGTGCTTTCCACCCCGCTCCCACCCCTCCCCAAAAAATTTTCCCTTGCTTTTAAGTCCAGCTTAATTCCCTAAAACGATTGGAGGAAAAGAAGAGGTTTTACCAAGGGAAAAAAAAAAAAAAAAAAAAAAAGGTATGACAGAAGGGGCAATCCTCCCAAGCCCTGCCTGCGAACATCAATAGATCCCGTTGCTTTATCCATCACTCGGCCGTGCCCTCTCGGCCATCTCCGCCCCCACTTACGTCTTTTGGAAACTCCATGCCGTCAAACAACGTCTCCCAACCAGACAGCTTGTGGCACATCCTGTGAACGCACCGCCCGGCTTCCGGAAAGAAGCACGCGCGCTCCCAATCGATCACTCCTATGACAACGTCCATGTTTGGGGACAAGACGATGTTTGCGAGAGACCAGTCGAAATGCGAAAACACTGGAATGCTATGCGGGTCTATCTGCTTGATGAGATATTCGTGAAAGACATCTTCTCGGTCGTAAGCTTTCAGGAAATCTTGCGTGGACTGGAACGGGCCAGGGTAGGGCAATTGATTGTGGAAGAGTATCCCTTCCGGCACGAGGCTTCGGATTCCAGAGCTTGGGTGAGGGATTTTGACGAGATCTTGGATGTAGCCCTGTACCTGAAGCTTTATTGCTTCTCGTTGCTTTGGGGTAACCTTTTCCCAGGTTTCTTTGTCGTCCACAGTCACCCCCGAGAATCGCTCAAAAACGGTGAATCTAGAAAGGCGGCAGTTTTATGTTAGCGATTGACCTCACCAAGGCTATCTCCCAACTCCCGACATGGACGTACCCATTTCCAGAATGGATCACTTTTGGAACGGGCACAGAGGTGTGCTCCTGTACGAGCTTCAAGGCCAGAATCTCATTCTCGTCCCGTTGCCTGACGGCGGAATATATGGGCACATAGCCACTGTGACCGTTTTCGTCGCGGGACAGTCGCTTCTTAATGATATAGTTTTCCGAGACGTAAACCCTTCTGTCAGGTGCCGAATGCGTCATGTTCTCGTCGAGGCAATGAGAGAGCCATTGTTCGTCCATATCCTTAGCAAGAAGGTATATCAAGGTAGGAAACCGAGGGTTGCACAGGTATGGTAAGAAATCGGGAAGTGGAACATTGGAGAGGGACAAAAGGGGATAACCAAGCACCATACATATATACTAAAAAACCTTTCAAGTAAGAGAAAATTGAGACTGGCGCTGAGTAATCAATGAGCTGTTAGAATCGCCAGAATAGACGCGAGAAGCGCAGCGCACGCAGTCGCGTCTAAGCTCGGGGGGGTACTCCCGTGAGTGAGTTTTGTCGATCCTAAGACGAGGTCCCGAAAAACCGGTTTCATCTGCGAGAATTTCAATTGGCACATGTCACCATAGAGAGACGCATCAGATGTCGCCAATGCTATGGCTCCGGACAGAAGTAGCTTCCATGACTTGGGGAAAAAGTGCCTATGTGACCCGCTGGATATAAAAGTATGTAGATGCTTTTCAAGGGGGTGGTGATTTTTTAATCTGCAGATTAACGAAAGGGCTGAACTGGGGTTAGAAAAAGTAAAAACAGAAAAGTAAGGGCAGAAAAAAAGTAATAAAAAAAAAAAGTAATAAAAAAGGGAAGGAAAAAGACACTAGAAAAAGAAGTGTCGTGTGCCGCAATTTTCACCATCCAATCGCCAATCGAGGACAAATAGGAACTCCCACCACGATGATATTTGTCGGATTTCTCCATGGCTATTTGAACGCTAGTGTAGTGAAAGAGAAAAACGCCGATGATGATCCGGTGGGAATATTTGTGGCACCAACCTGGAACCATCATGCGTGGAATCAGTCACTTTGCAAAGGGATTTTTTCAAGATGTCATCCCAGTATTAGTCCGTGCAGAGGGGTGATCGATACAGTATGATGGTCTCAATTCGGTGATTCGGTGGTTCTATGCTCCAGAAAGTGCTCTGGCACTCACTCCCCGTATAAAAAAATACCTCCTGGTTAATGCATTGTGGTTTTAGGACAATTGCCGTTATAATGATAATAATATTATCAGAATGCTTTTTCTCCCCCCCCCTCCTAAACAGCTGTTCGAAAATTTCTCAATCCCCGATGTTGGAAGTCCTTTACAAGTGAGTTGTTGTGGTATCATAGAGTGGACGTCTTTGGAGTCCTTGTCCAGGAACCGCTCTGCACGGTCCCATCCTGGTTGGGCTAAAAAAAGGCTTGGTCGAATAATATGCGGCGTTATTGTCACCTCGGAGATCACTTTTTAAACACCTAACCCTTGCCAAGACCCGTTATCTGTCTAGCAATATAACCCCGCCTCCGCGCCCATTTTCTTCATCTCCAGTCTTTCATTTTTCTTCTTCTTAATACCCTACCCAAACCCCCCAGGACCCCGAGAAGCTACGAGAAGTGAAGGGAATATTGACAGTGTTCGAATGTGAATAGGACAATGGTAAACCGGGATTTGAGGTTGAGCATCTGAAGCTTTCCCTTGTTATTCCTGGGCCCTGCGTCTGCCCGGTTTCAAGGAGCGAGGGGGTAGGGGAAATAAGTGGCTGAGGCCGAGGTTGCGGTAAGCACACCTTTTTTCTCCTTCACCGGGTCCGTGTTAAAGGGAAGGAAAAAAAAAGGGAAGGAAAAGCGGTGATGCGGATGCACGGGATTTGCTTCTATTGATTCTCAATTCCTACGCTCTATACGTTTCTCCATTCTGAGCATTTCTTCCGGGCCTGAGAGCGCGCACACCAGATGGCAGAGAGCGGTTTTATGGGCCGTGGTCGCTTCTTCCTGCCTACCCGCCTGCCTTTCTTTAGTATGATACTCCTGCTGTCTTTGCTTGTACTGGCTATGGGCGACGGTAACAGGTTTCCTGCAGCGGTATGTTCCCCCAAAAAAACCAGAAATAAATCGAGATATCACGACAATGGCCATAGGGAGCGCGGGAACGCCTAATATTTTGTGGCAACTGACATGAATTTTGGCACTAGCATTACTTAGCATTGCACATGGAGAACCCGCTCGTCCCCTCTCGCCCCCTTCCAGGTGATAGGGTCTTGCTCGGTTTCTGCCTTTTTTGATATGGAATGTATGGTTCGTGCCACCCGAAACGTGCACCAGGCTGGAACTTTTCAGTCGATTATATCTCGCCATTACGACCTTTAATCACTTCAAAAAAAAAAAAAAAAAAAAACCTCTACATTATTCTCCCTAGTATTTCTGATAATCTAGAGTTTTCTTTTTGAATCAATATTTTAACTTAGTGGAGTTGTACAAGTGCCAGGCAAGAACTGGATAATTTGCTGGTTAACCACCCCCGTCTTGTATCATACGAAAACATCTTGCCTGGCGCCTGTATAATCTTTTTTTTTTTTAAAATGCCAATCACTCGTGCAAGTTTTGGATGGCACGAATCATACCGTCACAAAATGTCTTGTTACCTTGAAGTTCTTAAGCATTCCTATGGGGTTTATATAAAAATAGTATCATACTCCAACATGTACATATCTCTTTGAGTCCCTATTGCATGAGGAGGCCTACCATACTATACAAGTTACAAGGGGACAGAAAAACGAGTTACCCGGAGAAACTTCAGGTTTTAGTTTCTGCTGTAAATCTACTCGTACAGTAAATTAGGTATTAAGTTTTGCATGATACTCGAGTAAGTTGAAGTTAAGTTACGGTATTTCTCTGCCCCCGACACTTTTGGTGATAACGTAAGCCATGGATGGGGTTCTCCCAATTGCCGATCATTCAGACAGGTCATAAAGCGGCCCGAGAGTCTATCAAAGAAGGTCGGAGTGATTATCAAGCCGATTGGCTTATTAGTCGGCCCAACTTGACCTTTGCATTACTCGAGTGCTCGAGTATACTTGTAAGTAAATTAAGATGTGCGGAGAAAATGAATGGCAACAGTTGAGTCGAGATAGACTACCGGTAGTCTACCGTGTTGTAGTCTCGAGTGATGATGAAGCTTTGAAGTTGAAAGAAAATTCTATTACGAACCACGCCCGGCAAAGACGGGTTCTGAAGAGAGAGAAAACGTGACTTCCCCATATTTCCGGATCCCTAGCCAATGCTGATGACAATGCCTCCTTGTGACTCCGATTGGCATAAGGTATAAATTGTGAACAAGTCCACGTGTGCACATATCAGGTTTCTTTTTCGTTTGGCCTTCTTCGCTTCCTCTCTTCATCCTTCCCTTTCTCCCTCTCTCCCCACTCCATCCTTATTGCACTTTATCAGCCAACTTGCAAGTAATAACTGCACTTGATTGTTCCCGACGGATCAAACCCTTATTTACGAACTTCTCACCACCAGTCATTGATCCCCAAGTTCCGCTCAATTCCGGGGAAAGCGAAAGTAAAAAAGGCATTACGTCGTGACAGCCCCTCATCTCATAGGGAACCAATACCCAAATCTGGTGTTGAATAACGGTAGTAATCACAGCCGCAATAAATAGTAACAAAACGTCCTCCCGTATAGTGCAAGCGTTGTCGTCCGTTACACAGATGTGAGGTCCAGAGAAAACGAGATGCGTGAATCTTTCCTGTATTGCGCAGCATATTCTCGCTATCGTCGAGGTCTGGGATATCTCATAATCTGAGTGAGCGGTATAGAGCGGAAGAGCGGCTAGGAGATACGAGGTGCTGGTACGCAAGCAGTCATCTGAAGGGAGCGGTGATCGACAGATGGTCTGGTGATTCCTTTGTACTCGTAAAATACTCTTGCTTCTGTCCAGACCTATGGTTTTTCTTGCAAGTGTGATCAGATACTTCGAGGCCCGGAGGTGAACCTGAGTAATATCTCCAGATCCCTGGAGATGGGGAGGAGGGAGCAGCTTCTGTTGAGAAGAGAGAGATATATAAACTGTTAGCATCATCCACGAAATTCCACAGCCATCATCCGGCGTCTGAGTTTTGTCGATTCTCTCTCGCTATTGTATCATCACCAAGATCACTCGTTTTCTTTTTTCAGCTCGAAAAACAAAGTACCCGCCGCACGGCCTACACCATATCACTCCAATAGGGAAACCACGAAAAGTTTAAAGAAAGAAGAAAAAATGCAATTCCTAAAGACGATCCTCCTCCTCGCTTCCACCCTAACCCTCACCCTAGCACAAAGCGCGGGTGTGGCCAAATACGACACCACCTACGACAGCGCCAGCCTCTCGACGCTCTCGGTAGCCTGCAGCGATGGTGCGAACGGGCTCTACACGAAGGGCTACCATACCCTAGGAAGCGTTCCCGGCTTCCCCAACCTGGGGGGATCGGGCACCATCCCGGGATGGAACTCACCGAATTGTGGTGCCTGTTACGAGTTGACGTACACGCCTCCTGCGCCCGCCGCTCCCAAGGTCCTCAACATCGTCGGTGTGGACGTGGCGGCCCCCGGTACGTTTGTCCTGTCGCGGACCGCTCTGGACACCCTGACGGGTGGGCAGGCAGTCCCGCTCGGACGTGTGAACGTGACCTGGAGACCGGTAGCAGCGAGTGTGTGCGGGTTTCCATGAGTCGTGTGAGCTCCCTTTGTTGGTAGGCTCTGGGGGGAGGGGACGACGACTGGATAGTGTATCCTGGATTTTGCGCAGACGTTTTAGGAGGTAGTTTGGGGTTTGATTGATTTGTTGGTTCTTTGTTTTTGAGGCTTAGGGTGGAACATCTCGGTCGGGACTTGACGGAGTAATGCACAAGATTAATTCATCCTGGCTTCACTCGTCTCATGAGTACCGCTTGGTGGCGATGTGGTTCTGGATGTCGTTGTTCAAGTATGGTTGGTGAAGTCAAAAAAAAAAGTGTTGAGGGATGGATGGAAATGCAGGAGTTGGCTTTCAATTTCAGAGGGAGAGAGCCTTCCACACTAGCCAGCGTTCGTGCTTTTTGAAATCAAGGGGCCGAGGCAGACACTGCATAATATTGTATGCACTGCACCGTTGCTCAACCAACATGTTGCCATCCTGCATTGTGATTCTCCTCTCAAACCATTCATAAATTTACTGTGACATGTGAAAGCTAGCTACCCACCTATCCATCATGAGAATACCCGCAGAAGGGGAGAGAGGCACCCACCTGCTCCCAAACCGAATCCCAACGAAGCTTATACCAACACGCGCGGAGGTGAAAATAAAATATATATATAAAAATATATATAAAAAAAAAGGCCAGACTATGATACCAAAGTAACACCCGGGAGCGTGTCTTCAAACGAGACAGTATCATAACAATTCCGTCGCAGAAGTCAAAGCAAGCGTAATGCAATAACAACCGGTTCCCCACCCACCCACTATTTCTTCCCCCCCAAAAAACAATCGTCCCCAATCGCCGACGGACAGGTATGTCCCCTCTCGCGACGACCTAGAAGCGGTGACGAAATCGGTGGATCAATCTCAATCTGGACAATAAATCATCAAACGACCGATTCCGAGTATCATAGGTTACGGTGGGGCGGAAAATCATTTCGCTCGAAAGTGGGTTTTGGTTGCTCTCAATGAACCATAACGCATGCAGTGGTCGGGTAAACAACGGTACTCAAGTACCATGCTGGTACGGCAGGTCGACGGTCATTGGGAACGGGCAGCGGGTGCTTAAGGAGAAACAGTGAAAATCACGTCTTTTTTTTCCCCAGGGCACTATAATAAGTTAATTATTGTCAAGGCATAGGACTTTGTCCCTCTCTACCGATAAATAGGGGGGAAGAGAAGGATTACTTGCCCCCTCCACTTCGTTCCGACCACCGGGGCATCCATAGACCGCATCCGAGTGACAACTTATGAGCGCCCTTCTTCAGACCGGGCATCATACGTTAATCTGACAGGACTATTGTTGCTCTACAAGTATATAAGGACCTAAGGCCAGGGGAACTAGCGGAAATTCCATTCCCCTTTCCAGCAAAATCTCCGTCCCGTACAGTGCCTCCTGGACGGTACGGCGCAGCAGCGCTTGGTAAAGCATTGTATATCTTGGCGCATACAGTACATTACTCAGAGCACCTATTACATTACCCTTGCGGTAAACTAATGTACCGGGGGTTCTTGCGAAATTTCAAGCTCTTTGATAATGCGTTTATAGTGAATTTGCTTGCCTTAGGTAGGCAGCCGTATCTTATGCTTAGGTTGCTGCCAGCAGGAGGAGGAGGAGGGGGGCCACTTGGATTATCTACGTGGTTAAGGCGTTAACGGCAGGATTGAGTTGTACAATACGGCAGTGTGTATGTGCGTGTGGCGAACAACTGGTTGCAGGATGAGTTAGTTACGGGAAGACTGGTTCCTGTTGCCTTGCCATTGTTTCACCAGATTTGTTACACGGATGCTACAATGCCAAGCAAGTATCATGCTGTACTCTGCTTGTAGCTAAGGTTTTTGGTTGTGATCTAGGAGTATTTTTTGATTCTTATTTATTCACTCCCCATATACCGCCCAAGTTATTCAACGCCATAGCGCCGTGGTCCGAGGTCATAGGTATGAAATTGAGATAGGAAAACCCCGTGTTTGGAGAGCCATGGAGGCTGGGATGTCTCCTTCTGTGAAAATCTGCTAAGGACGGGAGACTTGTGGAAAATTCCAGTAATTGAAATCCCCCTAGTTGTCTATGAGAATAGACTAACAGAGACGGTTGAAAAATTCCTGCCAATCGTGTATTTTCGTTGGCTCTTTCTTCCGTTGCGGCCGGGGTATCAGGTTCTGCCGGCGTGGTTCTCCGTTTGGGGCGTGAGAAAAAGGCGTAAAGAATGCTCGAGATCGAAATTTCATGGCGGCAGGCTGCTCATAACTCTCTCACTAAACTCTGTCCTCTGCTCTGATCTATTCGACCATCTTTTGGCTCCGATTATACTAAACTCCCCGGTGGTTGACCGCTTGCCAATTGATGATTCTAGAGTGCCGTGGATTTGTTTATAAAGCATCTTCAGAGAGGGTCCGCAGGCAGTGATGATACCGAGGCAGGCTTCCATTTGCGCGCAAATCAGAGGGTTCACCATATTCCCTAACCATGAGAATGTCGGTATATGCGTAGAGCGAGAACATGAAAGGGGAGTAATACAAGTAGAATCGAAACTTGTCCCATTCTTCTCTAGCAACCTTGCCATGAAATACGCTCTCAGAATTCCACACACACAAGCCCTACTCCGATCAGCAACTCGCTCATATCCAACACCAGAAGAAGTAGAACCCACAATATCCCTACCCCAAATAGGCTAGAAACCACCGCCTTCTTCCTCGCCGACATCCTCAACTTCCATACTAGGCGCACGGGTACCAGCAAGCACGCTATATCAAATGTAGCGCTGAGCACAACCATAGTTGTAGAATTGATCTGCATGGTGTCGGCAACTTTTGGCTGGAGGCACTGTGCTCTAATGATCGCCATGAGGTCCCACATCCGCATTTCCCTCGGGGCGCACATCAGTACGGGGGGCAGGACGCTGGCAGGGTACCAGAGGAAATTAAGCACGTGCAGGATTTTGATAGCAATTTGGGTGCCGGGCTCGCCATTTCCGGCGAGCCTATGTAGGAAGAGGAGAATCGAGAAGCGAATTAGTAGGAAGGTTATTGGTGCGACCACTACGATGAGGTATTGGACCTGTTGTCGTCGATGGCTGTATATCAACATCTTTTTCTACCGCCTATGTCTTTGGTTCGGGGTATGTATATAGGTCTGGAGGGGGGATGTGATGAAGGTGAATGCAGGAGAGGACAGAATCATAAATGCGAATATACTGACTTTGAACCAATTGAGAATCTGCCTGGCAGTAAGATCATATAGATGCTCCGCTAAACCAGCGCTTTCAGTCCCTATTTTGCCCAGAACAACGTCCAGAATTAGCCTCGCGCTTCATGTACAGAATTCAATTGCGGGCGTCATAATTCCCTACTGACGTACCCCATATGATCAACCCAGTATATGCCATATATGTTATCTGCGCCCCCCAAAAATCCAACATTCATCAGTAAGAAACAAATTCTTTCCCAATCGCGAGCAAGAAAGCAAGAAAGCTTCAAGGAGAAAAGATGATACGCCATAAGTGATAAACTTGCTTTTCCTGTTCACTTACCAGAGCTGGAATAATTGCCCAATCATCCCATCCTAGCTTCTTCAGTATCCGCAATCGGGAATAAATCCTCAGTCCAACTGCGACGGTCGCAATTGCCAATGAGGCGAGAACGAACCCTTTCAATAGTGAACCCCTCGTATCCGGAATATACTCCGGGTCGAGCGCAGCGGGATGGGTAAAGTCTGCTGGTGCGAAAAGAAGATAGAAGTTATCTATGGGCGTCCGTACCGCGTGACCAGGGATGTTCGTGGGTTCGACAAGTCGCGTAATGACCCCCATTCTGCAACAAATAAATTATCACTTGGTGAAGTTGTAACTGCACCTTAGCACAGTAGCTATCGCGGTAGTAGTTGTGTTGTTGCTGCTGTTGCTGCTGTTGCTGCTATTGTTGTAGCAGTAGTAGCAGTAGTAGCAGTTGTAGCAGTAGTAGTTGTAGATACTGCGCAGCAGAATACTAAACAAAAAGCAAACTTCCACCCGCTCGTTCCCAGTGACGTTCAAAAGTAAAACGATCGATATACTTTATAAACCGTTTAAGAGAAAGGGGAACACCGAGCTGAGCCCCACCATGCGAAGGATCAATGACCCCATAGCAATTAAAAAACTCACATGCCATGATCTCAAATGGCGGAGTCAAAGATGCATGCAGGTAAGACGACCTAGAACCAATTTAGCCTCTTTTACCCCAGCGATCTAGACAACCACACCAACTTATCCATGAAAGAAAAAATGAAACAAAAACCCCGCCGTAGGGCTACCAATCAGTTTCCCCTTCCATTTCGCTAGCCTAGGTCAAATAAGTCAAAGGAAACCAGCGGCTAGATTTAAACCTGCTCCGATCTCAAGAAAAAATCGATGTTAGACTATGAAGGTGCCCGCACCACCGCACATGTATGGTGTCTCTGCTCGGTTGAGTACGTAGAGTATAATAAGTAGACGGGAAGGCAAAGGTGCTTTTGTGTTTGCTCCTCGTTCACTCGGGTAGCTTCGTTTCCCGGCATAACTGTGAACTCCATACCGGTATCAGAACACCACCGTACAATATTGCACCGCACTGGTATTATCGCGGAGCTGGTGCTTGTACAGTACCGGTCCCACTCCATGACTATGATGCTGGACTTTAGTCTGCGTAAGCTGATACCGTACGATGTCGATAACTGACCTAGCCTTGACAGGATGAGAGACGCATTATGATGGAAGTGGCAATTATCTATGAGCCGCTGCG